GTCCCACCCCCCCCCCCCCACATCCGGAGCGCGAGCTGCACTTGCCAATACACCCGGACGTCTTTGTTTTCCCTTCCCTCTCCACCTAAAATTGACCACAACCAACGCACACGCATGCCACCTTCTCAAAATCTCCAGACACAAACGTACAAGACCACGTTTTTTTTAATCCTACCAGTGCTTTTTCAAGCCACAAACAAAACATCACTTTTCTGTTGTTTTACCAACCCAGAATCACCTAGCAACCCCGGGCGGGGAGACGCAGAAGCACCCGCCACCAGGCCAGCCATTGCCCCCCCGGCGGCACCTCCGTTATTGGAACTTATCCCAAACTTGGCTACCGTGCCGAGCCAGTTGTTGGCCCCCGTCAGCGCCTGGAGAGACGCCGCCACCGCGTTGTTGCTGGGGTTGAGCGTGGGTAGGATCTGCGTAGACGAGAACAAGGAAAAAAAAAAAAGCCGATGAGACGGGGCGGGGGGGCGGGGATGAGGGCTCAGGTCTTATGGTCGCAGTCTTAAAGAGTCATAAATAGGGGGGTGGGTGGGGGTACTCAGTATCATGAGTGAAAACCCCTTCGAACAAAACGTTGCCCCCGAACCAGTATCTAGCAGTCATGCAGTGCCCGGGTCGACATCACTGGCAGTGTGAGAGCCTGTCAACAAAGGAACATCAGTAAAGCGTTGGCCCCTGCACAAGGCCGGTCGCTGCCCTACATAGGTCAGTGAAATCGCGTGACACACATGGATCATGCAAGCTGTCTCGTACTCTGAATAGTGCTGGGTGCCCGGCATAAGGCCGGCAAAAGGCCCGGTCGAACCTCTTGGAACCGTGTGGCGTCATGTAGGGAGGACCACTAGTGCGTTAAGGTCGACAACAAAAATCCCCATGTTTTAACGCCAATGGCGGCGTGAGAGTGAGTCAGTCTACCCCCAACCAACCATCACCTCTTGCAGGTACAAATTGCGGAAGCGAATCAGTCGGGCTATGACACCCCCACATACCATCGACCATCACCTCTGGCAGGCACGACGGTGAAGCCAGACAGCCGATTCCGGCCATTAATACCCCCATCCAAACCACCCACTTCTTGCAGGCATCAACGGCGGCATGACAGTGAAACCAGCCAGTCCAATCAGGCCGTGATACGCCGACGCCGCAACCAATCATCACCTTCTGCAGGCTGGCCTTTGCCTCCGGGGTGAGGTTCTGCAGGCTCTCCGGAAGGCCAGGGTCAAGCACGTCGGGAGGGGGGGCGTCATCCCCCTCAATCTTGGTCTCAACGCCAACGGCATTGGCCAGCTTGTTGATAGGCTTGCCCCACCCGATAGACATGCGGTGCCCTGAAGCATGGTGTTTAAATAAGCGTTGCTATGTGTGAGGGCGGGGGCAGGCGCGTGCTCATGTTTTGCATGCCTTGGTTGTCCTCGAGAGCATTTTTAATATAGGAGGGTGGGGGGGGGAGGAGAACCCAGGTGTGAAACAAAAGAAATGCACGAAAACAAAAATTTCGCTCTTGGTTCATGTGCTGAATGCTCATGCCAAGACACTTTCTAGGGACTAGCGGTCGGACGCATGTGCCGCTGATATTTTCAGGCCTGCGTTTCTTTGGAGCAAGAGAAGACGCGAGGGCAGCGTTTTTTTGTGTCGATGCCATGGTCCGTTCAGGGACTGACATGTAGTTGAACAAGGGAGGCGCACGCAGCTACGCCAGTAAGCGTTCAGGCTTACGAAACGTGAAAAATAACCGCCGAAACATCGTCACTTTCCGCGCAAGAAATAACACCCGTTCGTTGCGATCATCGCTCACAAAAAACAACATAGAAAGGGGTTGGAGGGCGTGCATGTCTATGCCGAAAGCCCCTTCCCCTGCAGTGTCCCGCAACAACCCNCAATACCAACTTCTCTCAGCCTGCAGTACAAGAAAGAAATGTTCATCACTAGGAACAGCGACAGCCACAATGGTATCGGCCAACTCAAGCCTCCAAAGTGTATTCTACCACTACGGAGAAACGAACACAGCGAACACATGGTGGCAACCGACTTCTCTCAGCCTCGAAATTCGTGTCGTCAGCATGGACAACAACTGCAGCGCCGGCACCGCCCCACCGCCGTAAGCAACAAATAGCACCACCCCCACCAAGCGAACCCACCCTCGAAGTCCGTGTCCATCATCGCCCTCTTGGCGTTGACGGCGTCCTCCCTCCGCCAGAAGCTCACGAACCCGCAGTTCCGCTTGCGGGCCCTCTCCTCGTCGGTCCTGGGCCACATGATCTTGATCGAGTACACCTTACCGAACGGGGAAAACGCCTCCTGATGGACCAAGGGAGGGTAGGGGAGAGGGGTTACGGTTTGTTCTGATGAATGAGGAGGGGGAGAGGGGAACGGCTTAGGGTGGGAGGCTAAGGGCTTGTTCTCATAAATAAGGGAGGGGTGAGGGGAAGGGTTAGGGTTCGTGAAGGCCATACAGGACGCAGGGAGGAACGGTAAAAAAAATGGTGGAACGGTTTCGCACTTGGTGTGCTTTCGACGAAAACATGATTAGTTCATGTAGCACGCGTTTAACAAGGTTACATACGAATCAAGCGGCGTTTTGCTAGCAGTCACTTCGAAGCACAATAACCAGGTTAACAGGTTGGAGTTCGATGCTCCTTCCGGTGTAAAAAATAAATAATGTGCAAATATATTTTGGATTCTCATCTGTGGATAGAGATGAATTCCTTGTGATGGAGAATGATTAAGACAACAGAGATGCAATTAATTTATTTTTTCATGAGGACAGACAAGTCAACGAGGGAAAGGGCGGCGGCACCCACTACATCAACAGGTCGGAAGAAACGTCTCGCCCTTCCGTGACAACAATGAACAATGCGTACGGAGAGTCGAGCTCCGGGCGTAAAGGGTCACGTGTTACCACGAGGACGAGGCAACATTTCAGATATCCAAGAGCGGTGAAATAAAATTCGTAGGGTTGGGTACTGAACCAGTACGTACTGCCACGTCAGCAGCCAGTACCCCAGTATATTCTGCTATTCGCAGATTTCCTCGATAATAGGCCTCAAGAACCAGCGGAAACCCATTTATCGGAACAATCGAACACCCCCGCGGCCGCGAAGAGGGGCTAGGGTAGTGGCTGTCTTTGATGGGGAGGACCTTCGTTTGGTTCTCTGCTGAAGGGTGCTGGTGGCGCAAAGAATCGCCATCCTAAGTCTCTGCTTGTTGTGCTGGTGCTAGCAGCAGTGATTTGTGCGCGGTGTAGGTTTCGGTTGTGTAGCTTTGGCGCTGTTCTTATCTCCTACTTGAGCATTCTATCAAGCTGGTGGTTCATTTGTTGCGCAACTTATCCTGTCGTTTCTAGGTAGACTAGTAGATAGACTAGTCGTTTCCTTTTTAGCTTCTTAGCTCATAGCTGGTTCCTTGGTATACGTTCAGGGCTGCCGTGTCGTTGTGTACTTCGTCAAGCCCTTCGTGTTTCTGCGAGAGAGGGGCTGTAGAGTCCAGTATACGAGAGCGTCGCTTATCAACCAAACTGATGGATGCCACTCGGTTGCTCAGAAGAAACGTTTCAATATTTCTACCTAAATATTTCCTTGTGTCGAAAGCCAACAAATTCAGTCGTTGAACTCGAAATTTGTATCGTTTTCCCCGCGATATAATAGTGCCTCTGTCAGATGGGCCCAAGAACCACTCATATTTAATGCTCTTATGAACCCAAATCGCGCAAAAATGCGCCTCCGACGGGGCCGCCTCACCAGCCGGGGGGGGTCGATGATCGCGGCTTCGCCGCGCCACCAGTGTACTGATCAGATCCGGTTGCTGGCTGCAGCCAGTATACTTTATACTGGCGCGTCACTACCGAACCCTAAAATTCGAGCCTCACCCCGGAAAAAAATTTCGCACGTGCAATAAAAAATACACGTACGGAGAATCGAACTCCGGGCGTAACCGTGGGAGGGTTACATGTTACCACTACACCACACGTGTCTTGCACGGATGGATTGTAAACGTTTACCCATGTAAATAATAACTTCTGGTTCTTCATTTTGTGACGTGTGTCGCATGTATCTACAAGTCATGCATGAATATTCTGGCGCCAATTTACACCTCTCGGTGTATGTGTGTTACGTATGAATCGGGGTCACAGCGATATATATATATATATGTTAATTGGTATCGAATGCTCCAATTATTATATATGCTAATTGGTATCGAATGCTCCTCCCCACTTTAATTCCTCATGCGGTGCTCGCCTCAGAGTTCATGTTCCATCGGTCTAAGCGTCCGTATTTGTAAGTAATTATTTTTTGTATTTTCTGACTTTGGACGACAACCGTTTCATAAGCTGTCGGAAATCACGCGTTTCCGGTTGCACATTTGTTATTTCAAGGCAGCAATCCTCGGAGCACTGCTGTGCTGCCATCCCAGCCGTTGATATAACGGAGGGATTCTCCCCGATATTTTGTCGTTGACCCAGTAGAGAACTACAGGGGATGTATTGTAGAATGCACTTTACCTTTACAGATATTTTTGTATTTAGCACCAGCTGGTATCACTGATGTAAATCATCAGCGTATAGACTTGAATATACTCCAATTAAGTCAAGTACCAAGCCGGATTTCCTCCATTCACTGAAAAGACTCCTCCAAATCTCGTTCGACTGCTGCTGTGGGTATATCTCGAACGGGTAGTCTTTCTGTATGTGGCTGCTGTGTGGTCAGGTGTGCTCTAAGAGCAAAATGTTGGTCACAGTTGGCGCACACACCGCTTGTTCAGACCCACAAAGAGATAGCATCATCCAAGCGAACATACATATCCATCGACAAAACAGCCATTTTCTCGCTCGCTAGTTCACCCCTCCTGCCAAACTTGAGGATATGACCTTAACTGCTCTCTGTCAAAAAGCTCTCTATCATTGCTGTTGGTTCGGTCAGTGGAGAGGGATAACTAGAAAGTCACCGGCGGCATGGCAAGAACCCTGTGTACAGCAGCAAGCGGTATCTCATTCTTCGAATAGCAGTTGACCCTCGCCAGCTAAGTTTCTCAGCCTCCAACACCTGCGTTGCAGCCCATGGAAACAAGGGTCTGTTTTTTATTCCTGACAACAAACACGATAGCACGGTGCCCCCTGTACTCATTATTGTGTAGGGTTTTAGGTTATTCTGGAACAGCTCTAGCTGTAGCGCCAATCCAAAATTCTATATCACGGCATCGCAATCTGTAGTGCCCAAACTACACTGGCCCCGAACGCCAGTGATTTTCATGTACCTACTAGACCGCGACACCGCAGCAAAGTCTGGCCGGAGGCTTCGTGAGGATATATAAATAGGGACGTGGCCGTTTTTTGTTCCAACGCGCTAGTTGCGCCGCTGCCAACTACTCGTGTTTAGAGGCAGTTAGGGGTTCATTCTAGGTGACATTTTCAGACCCATGGAGGGCGATATGATGCCGATCCAAAATTCTAGATTTTTGCATTGAGTTCTGTGGCTATCCTTCTGCCGTGGGGCGAAGTTACGAAGAACCTGGTCCCGTTTTCGGATCGCGACGGCCTGCGGAAGTTTGCCACCAAGAGAGCTGAAAACAGGGCGTTCGCAACAGCAACAGCAATTTAACCGATCGGCATGATGAAGCAAATCTCGAGCTGAGAGCAACACCACGGCGTGAAAACTGCTTGCGGACGTAGGGTGGAACTATGTCGGACTGGTCTGCCAGTTTCATGGAGATCTGCGGTCTGGCCAGTAGTACCAGTGGTGGCCACCAGGGTGACCTGGGGTGGGTTGAGCAGCAAAAATTCAGAGGGGCTCCGGAAAATTGGGGAGGAACCCAGTATTTTTTCGTCAGCATATTTTTTTCATCTTCCATGGGCTGCAACGCAGGTGCCAACCGCGAGTGTCTAACAATCATACCACAAGAGGCACAATACACACAGCTACGGGCGGATGGGTTTGCTCTTCCTGTTGTTTCAGCAGTGCAGAGAGATCCCCGAAAAACACAAAATGGTGATGAGGTGCACGGCAGCAAGTGCAAAAAATCAAACCTCCGCCTTCCATAGCCAACAGGTGCAAAGACAAATCGACTAAACGGCAAGAAGCGTCTTCACAAAATAGGGTGTCATACTTCTTCCGAACGGGAAACTGCACATTGATATTGCGATAAGCCTAGGAAGCGCCTCAAGCTTGCGTAACAACTTTTTTTTATTTTTGCTTCATGTAATACAGCGAATCCATCTCTATCCACGGAAAAAGAGTGTTGGATTAATTAGCGATGAATCCATCGCCTTTTTGGCGACTTTTACATGACGGAAATATTCGAGTTTGTTCACGAAACACGTGTGGTGTAGTGGTAACATGTAACCCTCCCACGGTTACGCCCGGAGTTCGATTCTCCGTACGTGTAGTACTATTTTTTTGCAAGCTTTAACGCAAGTGTGAAACTTCTTCCTTGAACACGAATGTGGGAGAGAAGACACAAGTTCTAAGTGGTACAGTACCTCTCACAATTAAATGACTGGAAACACCCTGCGTGTGTATTTTGTGTTTTTTTGGTCCTGTCTAATCTCCGCCTCCCCCCGTCCTCCCGTCCCCGGGGGAGGCCGAGGCCCGCAACTGCAGTTAACCCTCGCAAAACCACCCAACAACGACGGATATACGGTCCCTAGCACCGTTTAGGAGAGGATCCTGAGTTTGGCGGTCGGGAGTTACCGAGGTCACGAGATCGAGGTAGATCGTGATAAGCCAACTTGGAGACAGCTGCCGATGGGTTTGAACCCAAATGCCCCGGTTTGGACGCCGGGGCAAGGCAGCAGTGGAGAGCACGGAGAGGGTGGCGGGATGATCGCACACCGTGTGGGTAAGCACCCAACAGGGGGACGGAAAGGGTCCAGAGCTGGAGAGCCACGCCGCTCCGGGACAGGAAGACACCTCGCTGGGAAAGGCAAGCACCGGGTTAACTCTTACATTAACCCGAGGATCCGCAGAGCAATAAAAATAAAGAAAATAAAAAAAGGAAGGAAGAAGAGGAGGAGGGGCCGGAAGGTGCGTAGGCTGATTAGGGATGCAGCACGCACCGCCCGGCAGAGGCGGCAGGGTCGACTTGTTAGGGTAGCAACCTACAATGTGCGTACACTGGCCGTGAACGGGGCCAACGGCTATGGGAGAGCCGACAGCGTCTTACACGAGGCAGCGAAACAGGGCATTTCGTTTGTCGGTCTGCAGGAGGTCAGGAGACCAGGGCGAACGGAGTTCGCAGCATCCGGTTTTCGGGTGTTCACCTGTGGCACGGACAAGGGTGGTACGCATGGCGTCGGAATCGCTGTGGAGGAGACGCTGTGCAAATCCTCCCAGTACACCACGGAGTACGTGGACGAGCGCCTCATGGCTATGAGGTTTGAGATGATGGGCCACCGCGGAGCGGTGACCTTCGTGGCTGCGTATGCCCCAACAGACGTGGCCACCACCGAGAGCAAACACATGTTCTGGGAAAAACTTGACAGTCTCGTGCGTCGTACCCCCGCTAAGGAGTATCTTTTCGTGCTCATGGATGCCAATGCCCAGACCGGAGGAGGGATAGCAGGGGAAAACGAAGGAACCATGGGCGAGTACGGGCGCAATGAGCTGAACGAAAATGGTGAGCTGCTGCTGACTTTCGCCACGGACAACAGATTAGCGGTCCTCAACACCTTCTTCGACACACGGAGGGGCGGGATATGGCATACGTTCAACGGCCCGTCGGGACGCGAACGTAGGTGCCTCGATTACATCCTGACGCGCCAAGCACACCGCGGCCGAGTGTCCAACATGGAGGTCGTACCTCAGCCAGTGCGCCCAGTCAGAGCGGACTCAGACCACAACATCGTAGTAGCCACCGTCGACCTCGGTGGCCGGCTGGCCCACAACCGACCTATCCGGACCAACCCCAAACGGCGGCAGTTCAACCGACAAGATCTGCAGGTCGAGGCAGCGCGATGGGCTGTATCCCAACGGTTTCTCTGCAACCTGCTCGCGAGGTCGGGCGCGCCGGCGACCACCACGCAGGAAATGGCGAAGGAGTTCACGGAGGCCCTGCTCGGCGCGGCGGAGACGGAGCTGTCTGAGGAACCCCGGAGGCGGCGCACCACGGAATGGAACATGACCACCGCGGCACGGACAGCCCTGGCGACCGCCCTTGACAAGCGACGGGCTGCGCGACATTCCTTCAAGGCCGGACCGAACGCAGCAACGTGGAGGATCCTCAAAGCAACGTGCAAGGGGGTGAAGGCAACAATCGCAACGAGCATCTACGACCACCTGGAAAGATACGTGACGGAGCTCGAAGCGATCTACCAGGACCGCGACATGCGGGGGCTGTACCAACACCTCAAGCGGTCAACGGGCCTCAGCGGGAGACAAGCTGGGGGGCAGCAGTTCGTTACAGACGAGAACGGCGTGCTACTCCGGAACAAGGATGCCATCCTCAAGCGGTGGCGGAGATTCTTCAATACCCTCCTGAACTCCAAGTCCCCCACTCTGAACCCAGACGTTGTCGAACAGGTGATGCAGCGACCAGCGACGCGCGCCACCCGACACCTGGCGGCGGTACCAGACCTCGAGGAGGTTGAGGCGGCGACGAAAGGCCTGGGGAACTGGAAGGCGGTTGGTCCCGACCTCCTTGCCGCCGAACTGCTCAAGGTCGACGGCGACGACGAGCCAGTTGTACTGGAGCGCCTCCGTGCCATCTTCGTCGAAGTGTGGAATGGGGGAGAGATGCCGCAGGAGTGGAAGGATGCCATCATTAAGGTGCTGTACAAGAAGGGTGACCGTTCGAACTGCAACAACTACAGGGGCATCTCGCTGCTCTCGCATGTAGGCAAAGTACTCGCCAAGACCATCACCAACCGCCTGAGCGCATTCTGCGAAGCCAACGAAATCCTCCCGGAGGAACAGTGCGGGTTCCGGCCTGGCCGATCCACGGTATGCATGCTGTTCGTTGTGCGCCGACTCCAGGAGCTGGGGCGGAGGAGGAGAATCCCGCTCTACATGTGCTTCATCGATCTGCAGAAGGCATATGACTCGGTGGACCGGGAGCTACTGTGGAAGGTGCTGGCCCGGGCCGGGATCCCCGGGGAGATGATCGCCGTCATCCGCAAGTTCCACGTCGGAATGCGGGCCCGGGTCCGCACGGACGATGGGGAGCTATCGGACTGGTTCCCGGTCACGCAGGGATTACGACAAGGGTGCTCAATGTCCCCACTGCTGTTCAACGTCTTCTTCGCAGCGCCTCTCGAGATCATTGTCACACGGTTCAGCCAAGATGAGGTTATCGTGCGGGACCTAGTGTACTTGAAGGAGGAGGAACGGAGGGGGGGGGGATTGCTGGACCGAGTCCGGAGGGCGGTGTGGGGGATGCTATATGCCGACGATGCCGGCGTTGTGTCGAAGTCCGCCGACGGCCTGGCGAGGATGATGACCATTATCGTGGAGGTGTTCCGGGAGTTCGGGCTGACGGTGTCGGAGAGGAAGACGGAGACCCTGGTGATGCGGGTGAAGGAGAGACAGCGACCGCCGCCGCCGCCACCGCCGGTGCTGACCATCGAAGCAGCGGGGCAAAGGTACGCACAGACGACCGAGTTCCGATACCTGGGCGGCCTCGTCAACGAGCAGGGCGACCTTACCCGAGAGATCAACCACAGGAGCAAAGCAGCGTGGGCGTGCATTAAGCGATACGCCACGGAGCTCTTCGACCGACCGGGAGCACCGTTTCGCCTCAAAGCCCGCCTGCTCCAGGCGGAGGCAGTGGAGGCACTGCTATACGGCTGCATGACATGGTCCCCACGCCGCAACCACTACGGAATGCTGCAGACGACACACCACCGGCTACTCCTGCGAGTCATCGGCTACCGGCGCAAACGAGGCACCTACCGGCAGCTGTCATACGCCCAGGCGCTAAAGAGGGTCGGCTGCCAGAGCGTGGAGGCCACTGTCCGTCAACGGCGCCTGCTCTTTGCGGGGGCCGTGGCAAGACAGCCGGACGGGCGGCTTCCGAAACGGCTGATGTTCGGCGAGTTGGTGGGAGGGGAGGACCCGGGCCAGGGAAACCCGGAGCAGAACTGGCTGACATGCCTGAAGGACGACATGAAGATGTTCGAAGCCAGGTACGGCTCCACGACCGACAAGCCGAGCGTCTTCGGAGTCCCGAAGTTAGTCTGGAGTGAGGCGGCGAAGGTGGAGGGAGGGGTACCGTGGCACGCGGGGGTGCTACAGGAAACTGAGAGGTTTATGGCCGCTTGGCACAAGGGCGAGGAGAAGGCCAGCCGACAACGAGCCATCAAACGAGGAGACAGCGGGCCCAAAAATAGTCTGGATACGGCACCAATCAACGGGGCGGGAGGGGGGCGGGAGGAAACGGCGCGGGAAGAAAGCAAGCGAGAAGAGACCGACCGCGTGACGTGACATGTTGCGGTTGAATTTCAACGACTAGTTTTTCTGTTGCCCTCTCCCCCGTTTGCTGTCGCGTTCAGACTGTCTCTACGGATATGCCTGTCTCTGTGCGAGTTTGTTTATGTCCTCGTCTGTCTTTGGTTAATTTCGTTTTATTTTGTTTTGTTTTTTTACTGGCACGTACTGCTGACCCTTGAGGTCCTTCCGGAAGGCTACCCCCCAGGCTGGTGGTGCGCACGTTCCACAATTTATTCATATATTTGTTTCTGATTCTTTTGTTTCTTGTATTTTATCGCTCTGCTAACCCTTGGGGTCCATTTTATTTTGGTATACCTTTCCTAGGTACGTTAGCCTGTGACCACGGAAATTGGCCGAGTCGAGTGCTGGATTAGTACGGAGAGATTGAGACAGAAGGAGGTACTGGATAGAGAAACCGGGATGGTTTTTAATGTGAAGACAACAACAACAATCTCTCATCCCTCTACGCCTTCGGCATTAATTTGACGCATCAATAGTGCAACTATAGAGATGAACTTTTTCATTTAATTCTGGAAAATGCGAATACCACTACTCCCCACAATTGGAGCCAGGGCGACTCGTTGTCACCGTACGATTGGTGCGGTATGGCGAGCAAAATATATTCTCCAATTCACATGTTAATTCCATCCAGCCGGAGGGCAACAAGAAAACAAATAAGTCAACTTCCAACTTGTTGCGTTTTTTCTTTTTCGGACAGGGGGTCATCATCTTCCTGACACGCGATTCTTAACAAGCGTTCAGCAATGAGATTTCATCCCAAAACAGGTCGAAGCAGAAAACGACCAGAACGAAATCGTACATGTACTGTATGGAGCGACAGATAAGCCCCTGGGTTCTATGACTTCAACGACAAGGAATAGCCAGACAAAGACAAAGTAATCGCACATGAGGGAAACACGCGCAAGCTTTCAAGTCGCTGCATCGTTGAGCTGCAACTACTTTTGTTGTGAAAAACAACTTCACTACATGTAGGGCCTTAGTCTTGATCATCAACGGCAACAGCAGCAGCAAGAACTGAAACGACAAATGACAGAACTAACAAAACAAACTACTGCTGTGGAACATTTTTTCTTGTTTTAACGACGACAAACAGCAGTTTTAGGCGCACCTGCAAAGCCTCCTCTGTTACCGTGGGGGCCAGGTTACCCAGGTACAAGTTGGTCGAGGTCGGGTCGCCGTCGTCCATGGAACCGGAGCTGGGAGTTTGGTCGGAGTACATCTGGTGGCTAGATCCCTTGTCTACTCGTCCCTTGATCTCCTCAAAAAAGGTGTCGATCTGGTCCGAGGGGGGGAGGGGAGGGGAGGGGGGGGGGGGCGTACGTATGTGTTAGACGCCTAAGTTGTTGAACCATTGACCACGGGTCAGTTCTTAGGGTGGAGCATTGTTCCCTCAGGACCTGGGGGAGCGGTTGGGATTTACAGATTTACTTCTTGTTTGCGTGCCCTGGTCAAGTGACAATTGGTCGCCGATCGCGTCGCTTTCGTGACGGAAGGGGGGGGGGGGGGGGG